ATATATATATATATATATATATATATATATATATATATATATATATATATATATATATATATATATATAAGAGAACATGTCTACATCAAACACAAATACTTGAATACAAATGATCGACATGTTAGGGGTCTAGAAATCTACTCATCCCAAAATATCTCAAACTAGATCTCACCTAACAACCAATGCATAGAAAAATACATTGAATCAAAGTTCGAACAATAATATTAATTAAATCATAAACAAAGTATATGAAACTCAAGATTAAAAGGAAAAGGCAACGCGTGCAATAACATCAAGGATTACGTAATTTCATCATCATTTTGATAGTATATATCTGCACGAAGGAAGTATGGTATGTATATTTCAGTGAAACGAAATTAACAGATATTACAAGAGTGTTATCCCAAGGATCGTTTAAAGATACCTTAAATACTACAACCACTGCTTTCCTGTAATACAGCTTGAAGGATGAAGAAGAGTGTTTCTTGGTAAAAACTTTGATAACAATATCATTAAAAAAGATACCTTAAATACTACAACCACTGCTTTCCTGTAATAACTCTAAATCCTAACTATTAGCAAATAATACTTAGGTGACGTTTGTTTTTTAAGAGGTGCTGAAGTCTGAAGTCTAATTTCACTTCTGATTTATAAGGGGTGATCCTAAAGTCTGAAATCTAGATCAATAAAAATTATTTGTTTTTACGTCTGAAGTCTGAAATCTGAATCGGTCAAACTAGTGCAAAAATATAAAAGATAAAAAGTTTTTTTTTACAAAAGTATAAAAGATAAATAGTTTTTGCTAACAAATCTCTTCCAACCCCCAAAATATAAACCATTTAATGAAGGGCGGATTAGGATTAAGATGAATTAAGAGATACGTTTACCACTTAAAATTTCAAAGGACATTTAGAGCTTTTAAGCTCTTATTTTAGAAATAAAACAACCGCTCTTGATACCCAAACGTCTGAACAAATCAAATTTCAGAGATATTAAGAGGTAATTTTGAAAAAACAAACATGCTCTTAGTTCCTACCTATTGCTAGCAATAAATTAAATAAGTAA